TATATAATATTTAAGTATCTTTTTGATATTTACACATAATAGCAAACAATAACATATCCTGAATGTAAATATCCTCACATTCTGTAAACAAAGACAAGTGTACAACCCCCTCAGAGTCTTTTTGGCATATAAATACCTTCACATTCATTTTACATGTTTCTTTTTGTTCCGTCTTATCTCAAAAAGCGCATACACACTTTATATCCCAGTCAATTTGCATTCACCATTTTGTATTCCCTCACCGATTATTATTAAGATGATTAATTATTATCTAATATGTTTTAGATGAACCCTCAGAGGCGCTTTCTCTCTTTAAAAAGTATTTAAATTCAAAGCTGACACAATGCTATAACCACTCACCACTCTTGAAATTAAAAGTGTTTCGTGTTCTTTAAAAATATAAACTGTGATTTTAGAGCATGCATGCTTAGATGTACAAACTGCGTGCCTCCTCCCCTCAGTGCTCCTTCAGGCAAAGTTAGAAAGTGTATTTGGCATCTCTCATTATGTGGACACTTTTCAAGTGACTACATTATACAATAAGTGCAGTTTTGTTTATGAACAGTGAGCAAAGCTTGCAGAAAAGTGAAACAATACAATAGGACTGTGAAATAATGTGACTGTGGAGTAATGCGACACCCAGGATGTGCATGTGTCGATACAGTTATAGCTTGCGAATCAAAACGCCTCTGATGCATGAACACGTTCAAATACAGCTCAGGAATAAAAAATTAAACTGAGAAATATTTCAGCTTCAGTAGCAACGCTGGAGTCATCAAATCCTCAAAACCATATTGGAACAATTTTAAGTTTTGCGTGTCCATGGATTTTAATCCATTAGCAGTCAGTCCATGTAGCAATTCCTTCTCCTGTCGTGTGAAGTGAGTTCCTTCTTTAAAAACAGACACTAAAGCATCAGTTTTCCCCCACCATCATTTCTTAGAAATGTCCTGTGTGCTTGTAGAGTTCTGATGAAAAGTGCTCAAAGTTATTAAAAGACAAAATAGGAATTGGGGTCTTCTGACTTAAATGAACTATTATTGTCCCGCAGACCAAAATAAGCACCTTTCCTTTTTCGACATCCACGCAGGATGATTAATGGCTTCAGATATCATTGCTCGCGTCTTCTAGGCCAGTCATAAACAATAATCAGGACACGCAGAGCTCTTCCCATGGAGGATTTGGAGGCAGCTTCATCCTCAGAGCTTCAAACAAGCTGTTGCAGTGTTTCCACAGAATCAAAGAGTGAAGTAAACATGTCCCTACGGTGCTTTAGGTCCACAGTCCCAGTTGGTGGAAAAAAAAAAAAAAATGTCATGGAACAGTCAACCAGCAGGCCTACCTTAGCCACATTGACGATAATAGTTCTTAGCCACTTGCCACGTCTGCTTGATCTGAACATGTGTATACCTCTTTGGATGCAATCCTCACGATTTGTGGGCCGGGCGGATGAGTAAAACTAAACACGCCACGATGCAAACAGCTCATGTTCCAGCAAGATGTCTTCTCAAACCACTGAAAGGGAAATAATAAACAGGTACGTTGGTTGTTTCCCGTAAGGATCACAAAGCCTTTTAGGAACAGGGCTGACAGTATTATAGATTTCTATTATTGTCAACAAATCTCATCTGTCTCTGTGTATCCAACACCTGATTTAGCCGATTCATCTGTGCCATAGAGCTCATTCTTTCTCCAAAAATGATTAAAAAAAAAAACACATAAATTAGCTACACAATTACCCTAGCATGGTAACACATTCCTTCATTATGATTATTGAAAATGTGCAGTGTAGTTTATTTTGAGTGAATCCCACATTTACTGCCCTGCTGCTGTAAATACTCACTAGTGAACACTCACTAGTAAACACCCACATGTGGATTAATCCGCTGCTGAAAATAATCCCCAACACATGCACCATTTACTCCTGTTTGAGTGGTGTTTGGAGTAAGTCTGTTAAAAACTACAGTGCGGCTGTTTGTTTTTTTAATCTCTCTTTTTTTTTTTAAATAATGAAACAATATATTTGTAGCTTAAGGGTTACATCTCCATTAGGATCAAATGGGCTTGGCGCGCTGAGAGAAAGAGCAGGAGAGTTGGACATTTTTTAATTTTTCTCGTGAGATTTGCTGACAACTAGTAAAATATAAACTAGCCTTATACCTTAATGTGTATATCATAAATAAAGTACCACTCTCAGAAAGATGGCAGGATGCTCCGTTCTTCTCTGTGACGTAGTGACGTGCGTGGCTCCGCCTGTGACAGTCCTGCCTCCACCAGCAACTGCACAACAGAAGACTCACAAACTCAAAATACTTGTCTCATATTGCTACATGACTGTTCCTAAATACAAACGGTTTATCAGCCATGATCCGAGCAAGCATGTATTCTATTTGGTAAAAGGTAAAAAATATGCCACAAAATGTTACTCACTGTAAAAGTGTACACAGCACCATGCTTAGAACACACCCAATCACACACAACACCAGCATTGTGGCAACTGTCTGTTGTCTGTGATTAGTTGCTACTACAGCAAGCAGGTCTGCATGCTCACACCTCATCCCAACAAAGCCTGGATGACACCTGCAACAAGGAGGGGAAATAAAATTGGGTAAGCAAAGTATTAGTAGAAACATAAAAATAGCAATTAATAGATTATACAAGTAGCTCAAATCACAGTGTTATTGGTTGAGAGGGGAAGTCCCAACACTTCTAGTTTCTTCTAATATCAGTCCAACTTTGTTGATGTCATGTATCTGAGAAATATAACTGCTTAAATTCAGGAGTTTACTTTTCCAGTTGGTAAACAATTAGTAAATAAAAGATCCACAGACAAAGAGTCCAGTGAAAAATCAAGGGGAACAGTTTCACTCAAAGACACTGCAAAATAACTTAGGCCATGCATGTCTAGATATGCATTATATTTTGATATTAATCACTAGTCACTATTTACAGTCATCTGTTTATATTGAAGACTAAATCTATTGCAATTATTTAAAAGGTACTGAGTCAGTCTAACCTATTAAAACATAGATGTGATGTCATACAGCTCCTGATTTCTGTATTAATCATTTAGAAAATAAAACACTGATTTGTGAAAGGTGTCCATGGTTAATTTTTTTCCTTGCTTATCTGCAGCTTCTCCAGAAACACAGAGACCGCAATTACCCCAATTCCATCCTTCTTGCACTGGTTACTGTCCCAAATAGCTTTGGATCTTAAAATCTCACTAATGCCTCTTTTGGAGGACAGCAGCATTTTGCTCCAACGTTAGACCTCACTGCTCAGCAAAGTCCAGTCCAAAATAAAGGCCAAAGTCCTTTAAAATGCTAAAATAACAAAAAAATGATAATGCAAATGAAGAAAATGGGTGTAAAATATTCTTTTACATATGTGAAATGGTGTCATTACCATAACTTTACAGTACAGTCTCTCAGATTTCATTCCGAGAGTAGTTTCACCTATGCTTAGTTCATTCTATCAGCTTTCATGTCAAGTGAACGACGGCACTCAACACTGTTGGCATTTTATATTTAAGACAGTAACGACTTACACACATGCAGGCGTCTCCTCCAATATCAGGAAGCGGCATGTGCCGTGGAAGCAGAAATGGCGGTGGGAGTCTGGACAGTCATCAAAATGAGAGCGAACAGCCGCTGCCACAAACTCTGTGAGGTTGTAAAACAAGATATTGTTGACATTTCAGAGGCTTTTGAAAGACCATGAATCTCTAATATATCTACTAATATTTAAGTGGGTCACATGAAATGAGAGTACAGTTGTTAACTACAACTAGAACACTTTATGAACCATCAGCCAAGTCCTTTTTCAGAGCATGAATTTGACAATGAATTACATTATAAAATATAATCCAAGTGCAGTTAGCCCAAAAACAAAACATGACACAGGTGAATATCATAAATCTAAAAATAACCTAAGCCTGCAGAGACCTGAAACAACAGGAAGTACTAAATCCTAAAGCTGACACCCACGCCACCAGAGGTAGGCTGAAGCCTTTTGTTACCAGTTGCGTGTGGATTTATGGTGGCTTACATCTCTCAGTTTACCTGGGAGGGACAATTGGAGTCAAGAAAAGTCCTGGTGAGACGCTACAAACAAAAACCTCTGTCAATCCACCCACATTATTACGCAGATCCCTTTAACAGAAATTAAAACCTGACTCTCTTTCTTTTCAAGCCACGATCTCAGTTTTCACTCTGACAAAACAACAGAAAAATAATATCCGAATAAAGGAACACCCACAAAAAAAACACCAGGGCATTTCTTCCACGTAAGCTGTACAGTCAGACAAATTCCTACATAACTGACTCAAACAAAGGTCAGTGTTCCCCGAGCAGAAGAAACAGATGCACAGTGTTGCATTCAGGGTGGGAAGGAGGATGAACATGCAGACAGATAGCTGCATTACAGCCTTCGTCACACACTCCATTCCAACGGTAAATGAGCTTTTGGATTGCAGCCTACATGTATTGTCTCCTTCTTTCAGACTCTGTGAAAGCCCTCCGTTGTCCCTGAGGCATCTGCCTACCAACCCCTCTCCCTTTCCATGTGATTTTGGCAGCGGAACGAGAGGAACATCGAGACAGTAACCAGCTTTTAGGGCGTGTGAAGTGCTTTTCAGATCATAATTCAATAGCCGCAGCTTTTGTGATATTGCTGAGTATACTGCTCATAATCTTTAATTTACCACAATATCTGCCCTAACTCACGATAAGAGGATCAATTATCAGTGAGTGCCACATTGTCTGCGTGTGTTGATGCACTGCAGCCCAATGGGAAGCTTTACAGTGTTGAGAACTCCTGCTGGGGAACCAACGCTGGAGTGAGAGCGGATCAAGGGCAGCAATGAGGACACTTTTTTATCTGATATACAGTGATTCGGTTTACTGTCAATAAGCCAAACTTTCTCCTGCATCTTGACATAACATGACTGTGAGGAGACTTACTTTTAACTGGACGGATGTTAGTCGTTGTAGTGGTAGTTGTGGTAGTTGGGCCTCTGCTGCTGGTTGTTGCAGAGCTGCTTGATGAAATGTTCTGAGCACCAGTGGAGTTTACATCAATGGAAATGCTGGCTTCAGTAATTGTCGGGTTGCTCGGTCCTGCTCCAAATATAAAAAGGGAACCTGTAGAGAGGACAATAAACAGCTCTTAACATATGATATGATCTAGATGTGAAAAATATAGAAATAGTCGCTGGAGGAATATAACATCAGATCAAGAACACCTGCTGTGGAAGCAACACTGCAGTGAGAGTGGATCAAGGTCTTCACAGCATTTGGGAATATGAAATACAGGCTTTGTTTTGCTGGAGAAGGCTTGACAATGAGCTTGAACCTTCACTTGCATTTTGACATAACATGACTGTATTTAGACCTACTTTTAACTGGAGGGATGTTGGTTTTTGTAGTGGGTGCAATAGTTGTGGTAGTCGCGCTTCTGCTGCTGGTTGTTCCAGAGCTGCTTGAGCTTGGTGCACCCGTGGAGTGCGTATCGATGGAAATGCTGGCTTCAATAATTGTCGAATTGCTCGGTCCTGCTCCAAAAGTAAAGAGGGAACCTGCAGAGCGGAACATAAAACGCTGTTATATAAAGAAATAACAACAAATCCCTGCAGGAATATAATAACAAAAGTACCAAAGAGCTCACTGTACACTCACCATTGAGTACCACAGACATACTAAAAGTACCTATAGGAATATAAAAAATATATATTACTGTATTGTATTGTAATTTTCTTCCAACATAAGGAGAACCAGGTGTCACATATTCTACTACATGATGAACAACCTGCGGGTTAGTCTCAGTAATCTTCCCCTGTGCAGCTATGATCATGTGACTTGTGTGATATCGATGCTTCATTGAGTAACTGCTACCCAACAAGAGTAACAGGGTCAAGCATTCACTAAAAGGATGAGACCAAAGCACTATAAATACACACAGCAGGTCCTGTGAAGACACGCAATCACAACTAGACATTGAAACCTGCTCCTATACACAGAAAAGGTGGTTTGTTGTAAAACAAGGGGGTGCTAAATTTTAATTATAAGAAATACGATAATTTTTTCGCACCATACGTATAACACAGAAATCCATCAAAATAACGCTTTAGTTTAAATATAGAGGATAAACACTATCAAGCACAGTAAGGTCAATACAACTAATCTAATTAATATAGAGTACCATGATTAACGAAACAGATTTCTGATTGTCATTGCAAATCATGAAGTGATCCAGTTAATTAATAAATAGTAGAATCAAACAGAGGACAATACTGAGAATTTTAATCATAATCAATACAACGTAAAGAATAAGACACTGACACAAATGAAAAGCGTATTTTCCTACAAAAGTTACTCACCGCTTATGAGAAAAATTGTATCCCAGAAAATCCGAGTCATCATGACGACCTGCGGTCTAAACTAATGTCAATTGACGGGCAGCTTCTCCGAAATGCGGGCGTGTGTTAAGAAACCACATTAGTGTTGCAGCGGCAGCGACCATCAGCACAGACAACATTTAATGCTGTGATCACAACACAGACCTGTCGACTTAAGTCATTTACACACATTTGATAGAGTGTCGTAGAAAAGTAATTGTGGTCGAGTTTTTTTTTTTTCTTTCTATTTTTGGCCAAAAGCAGGAGAGTCTTCAGCAGGATGTCGGAGCGTTTAACTTCACCGTGTTCAATTGAGGAAACCCGTGTAATCCTATCAGACGCTGACCAATTAGAGACGGAGAGGGAGGGGTGAGAGGAGGGGGTGTCATCTTATTATTACCTACATTTGACACTACTATAGTTTTTATTGTATGTATGAGATGATTTAATTCAAGGATAATTTAATCTGAAAGCGAGTGTGTGTCCTCCTGCTCCATAACTTGTTTTTATCCATTTACAGGACATAATGCAATATAATATAATGTGCAGTTTTATAATTCTCCTTGAAAAAACTAGCGACATTAAGTTAAGTAATTTAAGTTAAAGTATAACTGCATGGAAATAATAATGATTATTATTATGAATGTTATTAGTAGTAGTGGTAGTGGTATTTGTAGTATTTGTAGTTGTAGTATAGTAGAATGAGATTTATTTTGAAGATTACCTTGTCATGTTTATTGAAACTATTTACATAATTTAATTAATGGTTGCTACATTTATATGCATTGTATTCTGTTCTTTAAATTAGATAGAAAACTACATAACACGGCTCACCTTGCCTGTAATGTTAGTAATGTTAAAGGTTGTTGGAGTGATATGATATGATATGAGACATTTGTTGCCAGTGTTCAGTTGACTGAACGTGGAGATAGGCATTAAAGCACCCACACACACTGTGCAGGTGCTCTTTCTTTACCGAATGTATAGTTTTAATCCAGCAACTGACGATACAAGTTGCTATTTCATAAAAAGGGTAACCAGGTGGCAGCAGCAGGTTTGTGGTCTGCAATTCTTTGCAGGGTTTTGAGTTTTGCCAGGGATTAATGAGCTAACTTCCTGTGCGTTTTTTTCTCTGCTTGCTGTGGACTGCTTCTGCTGCAAGCTAAAGGCTAAGCTAGTGACTCAGTCTTTCTACTAGTGGAACAAAACAGACTTTGTCAGACATTTAATCAACAAGACAACAAAGGACAACACATGTGACTTACAGAGGTTAGCAAAGTGGACATGTTTTTTTCTGCTCTCCGTGGATTTTCACGCTGCTTCATGCTTCGTGCTGCTTGTGAACCTGTCTGTGTGGGACGGTGGCATGGAAAAGCTGTTCACGGCCTACTCATGCTACAACCGGCAGTTAATTTGCAAAAGCCCATCTTGAACTTCCAATTGACCCTTCGCTAAGCCCCGCCTCCTCCCCACCACTACTCCATAGAGTTATCATGGAGCCCACACTGTTACTAACTGCACTCTATGATATATATATATTGTCTATTTTATTTTTGATTATTAAAGGTGATTCTAGAGAGATCCAGGATGTCAAACTAAATGAGCAGCAAAGACAGGTTACCAAGATAGAGATAGAAGCGGAAGAAGCAGAACATCACAGTGTAAAAATGAACCATACCTCCAGTAGCTTGTGTTGCATAGAATTGCAAACGATAGTTAATGATGTGCTAACATAGGCTTGATCACAAATGCGTCGCTAGAAATGCATCGCCGGCAAAAAGCTTTGTTTTCCTATGGCCTGGCGTGTGCTCCTCTCTTGCACATCAAGTTTTTTTTAAAGTTAAAATATCCTCAACTTTGCGGCCGCGCCTGTAGTGTCGTGTCTTTGTGTGATCGAGGCCATACTCATTTTTACGTAGAAACCTAATCTCCTTCCAGCCTCTAATGAGTATCACTATAACACGTGCCCCAGGCCTAACGTTTAACCATGACTAGCTCGAAATCCACTAAACCAGCCTGAAAATGAAGAAAACATGTGACGAGTGAATGAGAGTCCATGGCGCAGGGATGACATATTATTGTAGGTCAATCCTGGAAGTCAGCATTGCACTGGTGCTCTCCACAAAAAAAAAATGGGATTTTGGATTATTTTTTCCAGTTATAGATAATTAACCATAGCTAGTACACATTTGCCAAACTGCCATTTCCTCCTGGCTCTAACACAACCCATGCCACAGTATTCAAGGGAGATGGAAAATAGGACTAGTGCAGACGTTTTGAAGTGGCTGTTCAGGCTACTTCTGATTAGGATGAAGGCAGTTTGGGTAAACCGTTGCCCACACGCCTTGGTGTTGCTGCTTGTAGTTACTGGGACAGCTTATCAAATGCAACAAAATCTGACTAAGTTAAAGACAGACTGAACCAGAATCAGAATCAGCTCTATTGGCCATGGATGCGTAAGCATACAAGGGATTTGACTCCGGTTTTCAGATTGCTCTCATCGTACATACATAGAATATACAAATAAACAAGAGAAATATAAAAACAAGGACATTAAAGACAACAAAGTAGAACAGAGAAACTAAGCATAAACATTTAACATTTTACTACTATGTACAATATAAATATCGAAGAATATATATGAGCATAAAGAACAACAACAATGACGATGGACAATGGATTTTAGTGCAGAATGGTGGTAATAGTGCAAATGAAGATGCAGTATGTCTGATTAATTGTTCATCAGAGTGACGGCCAGTGGAAAGAAGCTGTTCCTGTGTCTGGTGGTTTTGTTGTACAGAGCTCTGTAACGCCTACCAGAGGGGAGGAGGTGGAACAGCTTGTGTCCATGGTGTGAAGGTTTGAGTGTTATAGTATTTAATGCCATTCAAATATTACCAAAAATGTGACAGTATATTATGTTCTAAAAATTTGAGAAAAATGTGACAGTATATTATGTTCTATAAAATGTGAGAAAAATGTGACAGTATAGTATGCCATCAAAAAATCACTGTTGTGATTCGTGAAAATGTCTTAATACACATTTCGTGTGCAACCCTCAATCACATACTGGCTCCCTAAATTGGCACTCAGTCATCACAACCTCTAGAAACTAAAATGGCTCTTGTAGAAGTTGTTGCAGTAGCTGTTGTAGTTTAAGTAGCAGTTGTTGTTTTAGTGGTTATAGTTTGTGAAGTAGTAATGGGCACAGATGTTTGTAAATGTATTATTAAAAATGCAAGTGAATATGTTTTCTTCTTTTCTCCCCGGATGGATGCAGAGTTTCAGGACTAAAACTGAGGACGTCCGAGTTTCTTTATCACTTCATCCATGTCTTCGTCTTTTTCTTTGACTGTATGAATGGACTCAGGGGGGTCATATGGGGCCCATTCAGGACCATGTCACATTTTTATAAAAAAGTTGTGAAGAAAATTGTGTTCTTTCATTCCATAACCTCCTACTTCTATTTATTCTACACAACAGGAAGCCACACAGTCCCATACTCTCTTGTCCAGCTTCACAGTTGTGCTCTGGACACTGGTGTCCACTCGGACCCGGCACCTTCCTGACCGGGAACTAAGTTGCCCCTCCACGACATCGCTACAGGCACACTTCCTGTATTTAACTCCCTCATTTTAGGTGTTGGACCTTAAAATTGACCAAATCACATTCGATTTGAACCTTTTACATCCTGTCTTCAATCCAGTCCTCTATCACTCTGAGCTACCTGATCTAACACTTCACAGATTTTTCATAGCATACTTTGTTCTTCATTGTTGGATCTTTAAATTTTGCACAGGCTTTGAACCCACAACCTCAGGTCTTCTGAGCAGTCCACTAGTTACCTGAGCTACTTGGTGATAGCATCTTTGTCTAACTCAATAGCATAAACATTAACACAGTCTTTCAGCATGATAGATTATTCTCCACATTACAGATTTAATTAAAAATAAAGAACCAATCTCCAGTATAAAGGTCTAAGTTTTGTTTTTACCGTTTTAAGTCTAATGTGGAAACGGAATGGACTTTCCTCAAACAGAGCTGGGTTTGGTTCTTGGTTGATAGTATCAGGTGCATTAGCACCCCACCCTGGCAAACTGCTCCTGAACTTCTCAACTCAGTTGTTTGTTTTGTAATATGTTGTCCACCCTGCAGCACTATAAGGGGTGCCAGGTAGCTCAACTGGTAAAGTTGGTGCCTCTTGATCCAAACCATGTCCAGCAGGGGCCTGGCTTCAAATCTGAATCTGTGGCTTTGAGGATAGAATTTACATCCTTAAAACTTTATTTTGGATATTTTGGAAAGTTTACTTTGTGCCAAAGAATTCAATTATTTTAATAGTTCTTCAAGATATTATATTGTCCTGATTCTTACAAAGTCTTACAAAAATACAGACATCCAACTTATATTTTTTCACAACTTTATTAAATCAATACTGGACCACAAAGGAGTGTTACAGCATGAAATGAACAAAACTGGTGCACTCAACATAGAAAGATATCAGAATGTCAGATTTCAGTAAATAAAGACATTTTTTTATGACTTAAAGATTGTTAAAGGTTGTTAAGCCTTCTGAGTTAATACAGTAGAAACCGTTGGATGACAGGGGCGAAGTAAAGAAACTGCATCGTCCACAATTACAGGTCCGTACATTATTCTATCCTGTCCTGTCTATCCTTGTTTAGCTAGAGAATCAGCAATTGATGACCCCATGAGCTGGCACCCACATAAACCTGACTGCTGTTTCACGATGTAGAGAATAGAGATTCATATATTTCATTTCATAAATCCGGTCTGTTTTGGGATGACATGGATTGCAATGATACCAGCGTTGATAAAGAGTATGAGAATAATATGACCGTAACTTATTTCTCTCTAACCACTGCAATGCCATTACAATAGCTTATATATCTTGACTTCATACTGTTAAGTTATCTGGTGTTCTTTCCTTAATATATAAATATTGGAATAAATGTTTTATTCACTCTTATTAGTCTTTCATCAATCACTGCTACATATATATAGGCCCCAAATTATTCCTACTTACTCCCTAACCAGACTTTGTCATTACATTTAGAACCATCTGACATTTTTATCTATCTTATTTATATGTCACTCAGCTTTGTGTCAAATATAACCCCAAGCAAATTAAATGTGTTTACCTTCTCTACATCTTTACACCAGCCTCTCTTACCTTCTTCCTAAGTACCACTATACCTTCTTCTTCTCCACTGAAAACCCAAATCCTCATGACTATGACCACTTCTCAATCACTCTGAACTGCTTCTTGTGTCTTTTCTTGGATTAGTGTTAAATTCTCCCCCCTGTCCCATCAGGCCCCATCATCAGCAAACAATGATCTACCGATATCCCATTTTATATCAGAGAACATCATTAATCCAAATGGGAAGAGTATTGGTCACACTGCCCTGAGGAGTTCTGTTTTCTATCGTATACATGGTCGATAACACTGTTCCCATCTAAATCCGAATATATCTATCAAATACAATTTGTTATCCACTGAAACATTCTTCCTGTTGTTCCCGTTATATTTAATTTAATCATTAATCCCTTTCATAAGTTTAACCATTAAACACTCTTCTCTGTAAAATCCCCGGATATGGCTCTCTAGTTTTTTCCCTCCCTCGTGTGCATATGGTCTGCTTATCATCGTCAGACCAGAAGGCGTTCTGAGATGCACTTTTATTGAATGGCCATTCTGTCGTTCTATCCTCTTGGCTTTTATTTTGATATATTTATTTTTACTTCCGTGTTACTTAACTTTCTTCTTTCTTCATTCTACAATTATAAACAGAACCATGACAACATTTCTGATGAAATTAACTTTTTTGTCTAGATTAATACAGTATTAATGCCAATTCGGGGATTCCAGGATAATTTATTCCCATTGTGCAACACAGGGATCCCGTTGTGCACTTTTTAATTTGCGTCAAGAGAATGCAAATGATTGATTTTATTTGTATCTATTTCTTCATAGAGTGTGAGTAAATCATTGTAGTGATATACAGTATGTAGACGTCAGCTCAAGGTTTGTCCATTTGTGCGCTGATTACGCAACTGCAGCCAATCGTAAGAGGCACGCCACACGCACGCATTAAGTGCGTGCTCGAGCTTGTGTTGTAGGGGATCGTTATTTGGGTGGGTTGAGCTTTGTGGTTTGTTGGCTGATATCATCAAGTTAAATTTATTTTTTTGTTACCATTTTACTACTTCCTTTAAATAACAATGTCGCCTCCCGGTGCACAAAAGGTAAATAAACACATTCTACTTTTCAATAAGGAATCTATTTTGGAGTTTAATCCCGAATGCTTGTTTGGTTAGACTGGGGTAGCATTATGTAGGACATTCTTGCAGAAAAACTGGATTATTTGGTGGCTGTGTAATTCCTAAGAGGTGCAGTGCTATTTGATCTATTGTTTTTTTAATGTGACAATATTTGACACACGACCTTGCATTGTTAGACAAAGTGACATCAGAACAACCACCACTCCCATTTGATGCTGTTTTATACTTCTGCTGCACCACAATTCAGACTAATACTTTTACTCCACTTCATTTATCTGACAACTAAAGTTAATCTGCAGATTTCTATAATGCAAAATATAAATCAACTAATACATGTTGATGCTTTATTGTATGTTAAACTACCGAGCAAAACATAAAGTAATGAAAATGTGCCCCACTATTAAGAGCCACAACATTAAAGTACACACTAATGCATCACTAATTTAATCCAGTAATGTGATAAATATATTATTCTGAAATGGGCCATTCTACATTATGAATATTTTCCCTTTTTCTAATATCTATCTGTTTGTACAAACAGGGAAGTTCTTTGACATTGGTGCTAATGGTTGCTTCTGCAGCCTCTGGAGGAACTCTTCAATATGGCTACAACCTCGCAATAATGAATGCTCCCACAACTGTACGTTTTTGAGTCTAATTGCCAATTTAAATTCATGTATGTGTGTGTTCAAGCAGTGTTCAAGTGTGGAATATAGACATACATATATTACATTTACTTATTGACAATACTGATAAAGTCCTGCATGGTGTTAAAAAAAGTGTTTTAAAAGTTACATCGACCAGCGTGAACATGAATTAACATTGTGTTAAATTGATATTTGTGATATTTATCTGAAAGTTTATTTTGTGTGTGTGCTCACTGCTGCACTGAGCTGTGCTGACCAGCATTACTGTTTTTTCACATTTTGGACAGAATCAGAATGAGAATTGGTTTATTGCCAAGTACGTGTGCACATACAAGGAATTTGGCTTGGTAACGGGTGCATAACAATAAATACATTGCAATAGTATAAGATTTAAAATATAAAATATGAAAATATGAAAATGTAAAACACTCAACAGTGACCAACAGTGTAAATTGGCACACACAAGAGATGTTGCTACTTGTGTGATTAGTCATTCTCATTGTAACACATCCAATTTTAGTATTTTTTTTATAGAAACTAATTTTAAATGCAGGATCCTCATTGTTTCATTAAGCCAATTAGCTGCACTTACAAATAAAGAGCACAAACTTCCATCATCAACAAACAATTTTGCAAATGTTTTATTCTGATCATTTGGAATGAAAGTTCAATTGATATATTGATGCTGCGAATTGACCCTTCAAGCTTTAGAGTCCAGCTTCTCACCACCAAAGTGCAAACACACAGACAACTAAACTGAGGTAATAAGTGTCAGCTTTAACAGCTGCACTCAATCTCAGTAAAACTTTAAAGGTTGACTGTCTTGTCTTTTCACACAGTTTATTCAGACCTTTGTCAATGAGACATTCTTGGAGCGGTGGGACATCCAGTTGGAGGATTACCAGGTGACTCTGGTCTGGACAATTATTGTCTCCATCTTCTCGTTGGGAGGCTTTGCGGGGTCTCTTATCGCAGGACCGATGACCATACGGTTTGGGAGGTAATATGAGTGCGTCAGTGAGCAACCGTGGCTCACTGGGTTAAGAGGGTTGTATGGTAACTGAAAGGTCAACGGTTCAATCATTGGCTTGGACTTGTCATGTGTCACAGAGCAAGACACTAAACCCTTAATGGCGCCTGTCATAGGCAGCCACTGCTCCCTATGTACAGAGATGGGTCAAATGCAGAGACGAATTTCCCCCTTACCCTGATAAATATAATTTTTTTAAAATGTCTGGATCCACGATGACACTTTGACATTTTCATTGCAACAGGCAGAGAGTGAATGATTGACCTGTTGATATAGATGCACATATGAATGAATAAAGAGTTTAACCATTTACTTTCCTCTATCACGGGTGTACATGCATATGACCCTGGAATGAATTGTAAACCTCATAGAAACACATATCAATCCTGCTTGCATACTGCATTTAGTTGGTGAAAATAAAAAATTCCATTCCCAAAGACCATACTGAAGATGTACCTTTTTTTTAAAATTGGGTCACAAAAACAATATTTCCTTTTTTTTAAATGCCCTAAAACAGCTGGACACCGTGGTTTTCAGCAAATGTTATTCAAACAGGAGTCAAAAGTGCATTTACTGGGCAGTATTTCCAGATGAAGATGAATACACACGTGATGCTCCATTGAGTTTTTACAGCAGCTGCAATTTGTGTGTGGGAGTGACTCTAAATAAATGAATGCCTGTTTTTCTTACACTGAAGGAAAAGGTCACCCATTGCAACAGCCACTGATGTGTTTTTAAATAGTTTTTGGAAATTATGGAGCTCTATGGCAGAAAGCAATACAGTAAATCAGGCTTTAACTACGTAGATAATGCTATAAGGACCATTTGATTAATGGTTTTATAATTATATAAATGATTTCCATACAATAAGACGTCTACCAACATGATATCCCAGCAATATGGCAAAACGGTCCATGAGACTACATTTCGTAAGACTGAAACTCTCTCCGAGTTATGAGCAATGTATTCATTTTGTCTTCTTTTCCATTCCCAAGGAAGAAATGCCTGTTGTTGAACAACATTTTCCTCATGACTGGAGCACTCTTAGCCGTGACAAGTAGAGCTGCCAAGTCTTTTGAAATGATCATCATCTCACGTGTCCTGGTTGGGATAAATGCCGGTATGTAATTTGTGTCACTAAATGTCTGTGTTTGTGTTCAAATACCTGCTATACTGCCGTAATAATCATTTTAAAAACAACAGAAACTTTACCAACTTCACAGAAAGCCACTGTGTGTTTTTCAGGGATCAGCATGAATGTGCAACCCATGTATTTTGGAGAAAGTGCACCAAAGCACTTACGCGGGGCTATCTCCTTGTCATCAGCTGTTTTCACAGCATTTGGTGTTGTGTTAGGACAGGTGGTCGGACTCAGGTATGGAAGCTGTCAGACTTTTTTTATTTGTCAAAATATATTTCCCTACCGCAAAAAAATCAGCTGTAGACTTCAATGATATGCACAGTAACACCCTGGATTATTTATTTATAGAGAGATTCTGGGCAGTGAGCCGTGTTGGCAGTATCTTCTTGCCAGTAATGCCATCCCTGGCCTCGTCCAGCTCCTTACCCTGCCGTGGTTCCCCGAGAGCCCCAGATACCTACTCATCGACAGGGGGGACAAGGAGGCTTGTATTAAGGGTGGGTACTGTAATATGTCAACCAGTGGTGGAAGGTAAGTATATTTACTAAATACTGTCCTAAAGTACAATTTTAATGGAAATTAGTATTCCCATTTTATGCTACTTTATACTTCAGTACAATTAAGAGGGAAATATTGGACGTTTGTCACATTCCAGACCTCTATGAGTTGTTAGCAGTTCCATCAAAGAGGCATTTCCCCTCTAAACTTCTCAGATGTGTCATTTAGATAACAGTTCAAATTATTATTAATAGTTTACAAAACAAAGCATACATTGGAGAAAAGTCTAAAATATGAAAAGCTACAACAATAAAATGCTTCATACACATTGTTGAATCTGCATTGCAAATTTTAAAATGTGAGTGTATTTTACTAAAGTAGGAGTTTGAATGCAGGACTTTTACATGTGATGTAGTATTTTTACGTTGTTGTATTGGCACTTTTACTTAAGGATCTGCCTACTCCTCCGCCACTTGTATTGAATCTCTTTTGTATTGAGGAAAAGTAAAGAACAATACGTTATAGCCAGTGAGCCAGAAAGTCAGAACTGCAACTTCTCAGGTAATTTAAATTGTGTTTTCTTTTCTTGGTCAGCTTTGAGACGGCTGCAAGGCTGTGAGGTCCAAAGCAGCGAGCTGGATGAGATCCTGCAGGAACAGGCTGAAACCAAAGGCATGAGGCCCCGTCGACCCTGGGAGCTTTTCACTGATCGCTCAGTGCGCTGGCAGCTCATCTCTGTCATGATCATCAGCAGTGCCATGCAGCTCTGTGGTAATGACTCGGTAAGAACAGATAGAACATATTGTTATATCAGCCATGAAGATCAGTGTTACTGCTACCGAGCTACAGTATCACATGTTCTTTTGGCCTCTGCAATGACAGAAGGTTGATTAGAAATTTGAGATGCTCCATCAGTGGTTTGTGTCGTGTGTAGGTTTTTTTTTACTTTCCTGCAGATCGTATTAATAATGTAAAGCGGTGCTGAAGCATCGTCCCCTGCTGTAATGTGCACGGAATAATGTGTTAAGACAACTTATTGTTTTGACTAAAAGGCTTTGTCGTCTCTTTGTCATTTTTTCTTTGTATATATGAGAGTTAATAATGAATCTAAAATTATTTTCAGAGTTGCAACAAGTTGCTTTCTCATCAGAAAATGCTGACTAAACACTCCTGTATTTCAAGGCTCTTAACCACGTGCTTGGCAGTTTTAAGGACTGGGGCAGGGTATTAACATAGTTGTTCTTTGTACAAGATGCTGGTTTATTAATCCTCTTATTAACAATTGCAGCACTTGTAATGATGCTTCGCAGCACTCTAATATGATCTTATGTGCTTTTTCTTTCAGATTTACTTCTATGCATCATACATATTCAAAGAGGCAGGAATATCAGATGATAAAATCCAATATATCACAATTGGCACTGGTACATGTGAATTCACAGCGTGTATAATGTGTGTAAGTATCCGTCATTAAAGCACATGTTATGCAAGCGGTTAGAGGCAAAGAGACTGTTGTTTGCATTCCTGTTAAAGCTTTAACGGAGACTAAGGACAAAGAAAAGTCCAATGCACTAGTTTACATACAACAGGTTTTATATTTGGTTTCACAGTTGAGAACACTTAGACATATGATGTTACGCAAGCACAATATGAACAATAGGATTTACAAATTTCTGAGTAGCTACCAAGAAATGAGAGAAGAAAGGAACTGGAACTAACTGCTATTTATATCTTTGAACGGACTATGTTTTCTCACTTGAGAAGAAGATATTATGTTAAAGGTGTGGTCTGACATTTTGGTAAATATGCTTTCTTGATTAAAAGTTAGCTACGTTGATTGACGCCACTTTCATGTCTGTCTGTTAAATATAAAGCTCCAGCATGTAGCTGGTTAGCTTAGCTTAGCACTAAGACGAAGGCTGCGTGAATGTTTTTTTAACACGAGGCGCTCGGTAAAGCAAAAGCAGTGGTAGGCTGCTGAAACACAATCTAATCAGGCCCTAAGAAACAGCTAGCCTGGCTCTGTCCAAAAGTAGCTAAATCATACTAGTCCGGCTAAAACTCACTATGGCTGTGTTCAAAATCACATACTAATGTACTGCCTCCTACATAACCAAACAGTACTGCATACTGCCTACTAAATGGGTATTACCAGCAGACTGTTCATACTGTAGTAGTATTCTCAAGCAAGACCATCATGTGACCTCATCACATGACTGTATCACAGACATCTCCAAAAGCTTTGCAGCAAACAGATGTTATTTGGATAGACTGAGTACATATTCGGATTCCAAATGGCAAATTTTCCCCCAGAAAATATATTAAAACTTAATAAAGTGACTTATTATTAGCTTTTAGTCTGGTTCAAAATCTCTGACATTTCACAGTCTGAAGAGACGCAATGCAAAGCAGTTGTTGCTAATCTAGTATACATCCTGGCATTTCTTGCGCACACAAAATCCACAAACTCTGCAATTGGAACACACTTCATACTCAACTTGACGTATGTTATGGATTCCGTACACAGCCTAAAGGATTAATTATATGTTTTTTGTTTACAGAAACAGAATTGTAAGAAACTGGAGTCGCCACTGGCAACCAGGACTTCAAGAAGTTCCTGCACCTAGCCAAGAAATAGTGCGGTACACCACCCCTCAGTTTTTGTACAGATTAAACAATCAAGATTTGATGTGTTAATTACTAAATTTAAGAGGTGCTGGTAGGTAGATTTTGGTACACTCGGACAGAGCCAGGCTAGCTGTTTCCCCCTGTGATCAGGCTTTATGCTAAGCTAACTTGCTGCTAGCTCCAGTTACATATTTACTGCACAGACTTGATAGTCAACCTTCTAAACTAGCTAACTCTCTGAACGCAAGTGAATAAGGATGTTTCCCGATATGTCAGACTATTTCTTTCATTTGTTTGTATTTGTTCAGTGGCTGTTGCTCAGGACTTTATGTACCTTTCTGTAAAGTCTAATTTGTTATAATTATAGAAAAACAGAGTCTGATTTCCATATTTTAATGTTTTTCAGAACCTGCTGGTAGAGCGCAAAGGTCGGAGGTTCATGCTGATGGGAGGATACATCCTCATGACCGTCTGGTCTGTTGTCTTCACAATTGCTCTGTTGTTCGAGGTATCATAAATCACTTAATTGACCTACATATTAAACTTTTCCAAAGACAAATCATGCATGTATCCTTGAACAATGAAAAGTAAAGTAATAATTGTGATTATTATGTGAGATTTCTACAGTGAACTTTTAATAATTACTGAGCATTACAAGTCAATGGTCAATCTGTGAAATATAAAAGTGATCTGGTTTATTTTATTTTTGCTACAAACAGCACTATACATCCTGGATGCCATACATAAGCATGGCCTGCATCTTCACCTACATTCTCAGCTTTGGCTTTGGACCAGGTACGTTTAATGTTTAATGTATGTCAGGCCATAATAGCTATTTTTAAGGATGTGATGATGACACTAACTCAATATGACTGTTTGTCTTTATTTTCTCAGCTGGAGTGACTGGCGTTCTGCCCACAGAGATCTTCAATCAGACCGCTCGGCCAGCAGCCTACATGATCGCTGGCTCCATGATGTGGCTCAACCTTTTCATCATTGGGACGATCTTTCCATTTCTAGTGGTCAGTCTGTCACTTCATCCATCCATCCATTTACCAAAAGTGCAATGACAATGAACAAGCATAAATACGCTTAAACCATTTTAAAACAAAGTGTACATTCACCTGCCACGTTATTAATAAAACAAAATTAAGGCACTCTTTAAAAAATACTGTTTTTTTTATGGGATTACTGGTGCATACTAATCTCCCTCCTTCCTCTCTTCAACTTTAAGACATCTAATAACAGGCAAAAATCTAAAAATAACATATTTTAATGGTACATTTATTTTTAAATGAAACATAACATCTTTCAACAACCTGGCATGAGAAGGGGGACTACAAGCTAACAGGCAGGTTAAAATGCAGCATTGACGACTTCTTCGAATAGGAAAAGTCACCCTATAGCGCCTCTCAGAGCTCAGAGTCTGAAACTGAGGGAATAAGGGACTTTCTGCCATGCTGCTCATGGCTTTATCTCTGATCCTACTGATCTTTTTAATTTATTGAATTCGAGGTTAAGGTTTTAGTTCATTCATTCCAGGTACGTAAATCTGCACATGTATATACGTACACAAGAATAGAAAACACACAGACAGCTCTGGAGTTGGTTAAGATTGAAGCACACAATTAGACATTTCACCAGTAATTTATACAACTCCCTACATCAGTCTCATAACTTTCTGTTGCCTTTCTTTTACAGAGCGGGCTGAGTGAGTACTGCTTTGTGCCTTTCGGAGCAGTCTGCCTGCTGTCTGCATTGTTTGTCGGCCTGTTTCTGCCTGAGACCAAGGGGAAGTCTCTGTCAGCCATCACAAGTGAATTCAACAAGCTCAACTTCAAAGGCCAGGATGAAAAGTGTGCGTCGCAAGCTAAAGCTCAGTATCAGTTGGGTGAAGTGAGTCATTCCACGGCCTTGTAGACAGACCTTTTCTGCTGAAACACACACAGACACATCCACTATATGCCTCACTTTGACCTGATCTGTTTGAGCAGGAAGACCTTGTGAATGAAAGAATGTTTACTTTCACTTCACTGAAAGCAACTTGGATCGATTATCCCCCCTTTATTTTGAGTGTGTTTTTTGTCAAGAAGATTTAAAGGAGTTATCTTTGACATCTTCTCATGTTGCACTTAGGTTTTGCTACTTTGTGTCACTGATTGACATAAGACAAAATTATCTAAGACACGTCCTTGCTTTATCCTCTCATTTTGGAGGTCAAAGGTCAGAGAAAGTTGCACATTAGGCCTTGCAGTTAAACGACCTACAGAGTACTGAAGTCTTTACTGTGAGGTAGGTGGTGAACCAAATCACAGAGAATGTATTTAGATCAACTGTGATATTAATTTGCACCTTATCAAATATATACTGCAAGCATCAGTGTGCACACCTCATTCGTAAAAAAAGGTATCATGATGTTGAGTATTTATACGTTTGGTAATGACTGAAATGTATAGCTTTCACATGACTGGAATAATATGTTTTTGTTTTAATGATCTAACTCTCTGAACCAATAAAGTATCTTGTATGAACATCCCTTTTCATATTGGATCTTTCAATGTGATCATCAAAAGGTGCCTTCTATACATAATACAATAATAAAGTGACATCAAATACAAATTGAGTCAAAAGAAAGTTATTTTATTCACTGTTGGTTTGGTGAGCACAGATGCTCCTTTTTATTTACTCTCCTTACAACATACGACAATAATCAAGCTTTCTATTAATTGTATTTAGTTTTTCACATGTTATATGAGTATTTTAACTGAAAAAGGAAAATGTAAGGCTGAATTGTTAAAATTGTGCACAAAACATCAAGAATATTAGATTTATGAGTAAAGCACCTCGGCTATAAATATTAACACATTTAACATTTTGTACAATCAATTCCAAAATATGATTTTGTCATATGTGGAAAATAATCAGAAAATCTCTAAACCCAAGCTGCGAGAACCCTGATGACATCACTATGACATCATAAGAGTCATCTTCCTGTCCACAGTTGGTGCAGAATGACTTCCCACAGACGCTCAACGTAGGGAACACGTCACTCCAGTCCTGGACAAATTACACTGGCTCATAATTCCTCACAGAATTCCAATAAAGTTTCTACTGATTACTTTTAAATCCCGACATGGTCTGTGTCTGCTCATCTGCTCCCAAGACCCCTCAGATCAGAGAATCAAATGTTGTTAAAAGTTCCACGGTCCAGGCTTAAAACAAAGTGGGATAATGCTGTGACTGTTTGAGCTACAAACTCCTCCTCAAAATCAAATCAGCTGAGTCAGTGCCTCAGTTTAAAAAGTGTTTAAAAAACAACCTTCTTAGACTGGCATTTATAATATATATTTATATATAATCTCTCTCTATGTTTGACCACTATTGAAATCACTGCATGTTTAATTTTATTTTCTGATGCTCTTTGTATTTTTGCACCTTCATTGTATGGTGATTTATTTTGTGAAGCACCTTTGTGAAGTTTATTATTTCCTCATCTTCGTCAAAGCACCTCCAGAGTAAGGTAGGACATCATGCAACTTCTTTAAGAGGATGAGTTGTACTTCCCTCAATGAGTAACCTGGTCTTCATAAATCAGTGGATGTAATTTTTCTATATCTGCGTGTTCTATATTTACATAAGATTACTAATAATGTACAAACTGAACATGAGTTTAAATATACATCTGACCTGTGTTTTAATTTTCTGCTTTTTCCCTCATAATCTCACATAATCTTAAAATCACATAATCTTGTACATTTTTTGCATGTGTGTGTGTGTGTGTGTGTTTTTTTTAATTTTCTTTTTAAGACACCTCCCAGTAATGTCTAACTTTACTGGCAGCACTTTCTCGTAACAATCTCGTAACAGACAGACCAGGTTAATTCTAGAGCAGCGTTTGGTCACCCCTTTTACGCACGTCATGAACATTATAATCTTCTAACACCATGAATGGACAACCAAAGAGTCTTGATGCGTAACTTCGGCCCCCTTTAAATTAAATGGTCCTCTCCTACTCTGTTCTGCAGCCAGCACCCAGAGAGCCAGCACAAAAAAGATGGAATCAAGAAAGGTAGGTGAACATTGTTACAAGAAAAAAGATTCTCTTTACTTGTGATCCACAGTATTTTTTTAAATGCCTGCAAGTCAATCTGTATTTATAAAATGCATTTCATTTAGGTATACTTAATGTATGCTACAAATGACCTGTACATGCATGAAGTGGTGGAGGATGTATTCTTCTTTACTCAAGTAAAAGTATTACATTACAAGTACAAGTCCTGCTGTAAACATTTAACTTAAGTTAAAGTACCTGTAGCTCTGTTTTGATAGAAATTATTTTACATTGATTAACAGCTTTTTTGTAATTTGAAAAGAGCCCCAGCCAAACTTCTGACCCAACATCGGTTTCACTTCCTCCACAATTGTCTCCTCAACTATAATTCTAGTAAAATATTATCAAGTGGGGGTCTGTGACCAATTGGGTCACGATTTTGGGGCTACTTAACACATAGTCCTGGCCAGAAACTCACTCCGGTCAGGCTTTGTTGTGAACTTGTGTCTCCACTGGACAGTGAAATAAAAATCTGAACCACAGAATCCGACCTGAAATGAAATTCTGCATATCACTTCATTATTAGCAAAATGTACTTAGGCTATCAAAAGTAGAAGTACTCGTAAATCAGAAAAAAAGAGCACTGTTAGTGTTTATAATTATATATTATATCACAAATAACATTTTATAATTCATCATATGATTTATACGTCTTAAATGTATATGACTAGTCTAGTTTAAAAATAAAAAAAGGATGCGACAGTATATATGAGGTCTACTTGAAATTTCAGCTGCAGCACTGGAGGCTTTACCTGCTGTCGCTGGTGTTGGGAATTGGGGGGTCGTTCCAGTATGGGATTCAAGTTTCTGTCATCGCTTCTCCAGCAGTGGTAAGATTTATATTAGTTAGATGCAAAGAATGCATGTAAAAATAAGGTTTGCTGTATGAACTGAAACACAACCCTCTCACTTTACGCACTTTGTTTCTCTTCTTCATTATTTCCTGTGGTGTCTGCACACAGTTAGTGTAGATAGAGGTATCAGGTCTTATTTTCTTCCCTTCAGAAAAAGCGACGTGCTGTCATTATTCTTACAGACCCGAGTAGATCATGTAACATAATCAATATTATGTGGTTTTTTTGGTGATTCTGTCAAATTCCTATTTCATTGTAACTATATTGTACATAGGGCGTGAATTGTGTTTCTTATTTCTATAAAGAACAGTAAATAATCCCATAAGGAGAGAAAGTCAGAAAACTGCCTGAAAAATGATGAATACATGTATTTTTCACTGTGATGGATCATTTACCTGAAGCAAGTTTCTGATTCAATTGTCAACCTGACAATCAGGAGACCACTTCAACATGTCCCTTGACCTCTCTGACCTTTCTGCAGCATATTCGGAGTTTTGTGAACCACACATGGCAGTTGAGGTACGGAGCTCCAGTGGATGATGCCACCAACCAGCTCATTTGGTCCTTCATCGTGGCTGTGTTGAGTCTTGGTGCCTGGGCCGGGGCTATTCACAGCGGCAGCCTTCCTGTCACTTACGGCAGGTGAGACACACACGCGAACACACACACACTCACACACAATCTGTGGGTTACATGAGGTTGTAAATTATTAGCAAACACTCAACAATTACTTGCTGACATCTCAGGTTTACAAACCTCTCAGACCTGCAAATAGTCTTGGAGCCAAAAGAACATTAATGTTCACTTTTAGTACGTCATGAGTCTGGTCTATTTTCCATTGTAAGCATTTTCACACAATAAAACCAGCCAGAATCAAGGGACGTTTTCAGCTACAACGGTTTAAAATATAATTACTTAAAAATGTAAAGCTAATTGTTTCAAAAGCTAAAAAGCAAATGTATTATTGTTGCTAGTATTAATATAATTAACCAATCAAGTTTCAGGTTTTGGTACACTCATTCGCTCTGTTGCTGAGAGTTCAATAAGAAGATGGATACAACGTTCATGTCTGTGCAATAAATAAGAAGTGTGTTACCTTTGGGACAGAGCCAGGCTAGCTCTTTCCCCCCCATTTTCCCATTTGCCTGTGCTACGCTAAGCTAATTGGTTGCTGGTGGTAGCTAATGAGTGTTGTCAATCTTCTCATCTGAATCTCAGCTGAAAAGTAAAAATGTGTGCATTTCCTAAGATGTCAAACTAGTCAAAAGATATTTGGTGTTTCTTTTGATTTTGCAGGAAAAAAACTCTCTTGTTCAACAACGTTGTGGCGATTGTCGCTGCTCTCATAATGCTCTTCAGTCGCATGGCCCAGTCTTTTGAGATGATCTTGCTGGGAAGATTTCTCTATGGATATAATGTTGGTATGTTCTGATAATGTGAAGTGTGTATATTAGTGTTTTTAAAATAGTTTTTGTCAGGTTTTTATTGTAATTTCTCTTAATCTTGTTGTTCTCCACAGGTCTAGGCTTGAGTGTACACCTCATGTATCTCGGGGAGTGTTCTCCAAAGAAACTCAGAGGTGTCATGACGCTCACAGGCTCAATCTTCATCGGATTTGGAAAAGTCATGGGTCAAATAATTGGCATTAAGTAAGAACTGATTGTTCCTAGTATTTCCACTTTGGTATTTATAACAAGAAAAAGCCAAGACAAACTGGGCAGAAAAAGACCCGATGAAATACTTTTCTGGTTTCAAACTTAAGTGCAATACAATGTAAACTTTGTTTTCCTAATTAGTCAGGTTGATCAGCACAACGTGCTGTATAAAGATATCTTAATTGCTCCTGCCTCTTATCAGATTTACTTTGTTTTGCACACTGTTTAGGGAACTCATGGGAACAGAAGAAATGTGGCCATACCTCTTAGCGATTGGTGGTATTCCTGCCATCCTGCAGT